CTCAGATGCGGAGAACTCTGCTAAACCCGTTGCTGTTATTACCTCCAGTTCCACTAGCGTGGCTGTGCCTTCCTCCACCATACTGCCAATTCCACTGCTGAAGCTCAGGTAGCGTTGCTGGACAACAGATACAAAGCACACACTCAAATGTCACGGTTATGGAGAGTTATAGTACATAATGTGTTTCAAGGAACATAAAAACCTGTAACCAAGTTTGACCTGATCCGTCACTGAGCTGAGCTGTTTAGCTACGGTATTAGATCCCCTTTGTTCCAGAAACCATGTGCTTGTGGCTCCAGCGGGTCTCATCTCCTCCCTTCTGTGACCCACTTCCTGAACCGCTCTGTCCAGCTCTGAAACCTGCACTCATCCCCAACAGCAGCCCACTCCTCATATGACTTCTCAGATATTCAAAATAATTAAAAGAAATAAACATAACTTTCATCCCTGCCTTTACAAACAATAAAGATTGTCTTTTATAAAGGACTTTACCATGCATTACGTAACACACTGCACAGAGCAGAGTTTTGGGGCTCGTAGATCGTGCCACCATTGCACGTGCTTGTTTCAGGGTGCCAGTTGAATCCTAAAAAGTCTCGATATGACTCGTTCAAGTCTAGGCTACAACAGAACCCGGCTGTGGTGACCCACCGTGGGCTGGGCCTCCTGGGATTGGCAGGGCTCGAGTCTGCCAGGGCAAGCCCAGCGCGCTACCCAACCTTCCAAGCCGCAGTGAGGTTGCAGTGACACCTGGGAGAGACTCATCGGTCAACGAAGCCCAGCCCTGCTATCAGCATTGCAAGACTTGCAACGTTCTGAATAAGGGGGGTGGGATGGCTCAGTCCAGTGTATCTTTCGGAAGAAAGCGCAAATTGGTCTTCATCCCTTCCGTGCTGGTACTGTTCTGTCCAGGACTGGTGCTGGACCTCAGCACTGTGAAGCAGACTTGTGCCTCCCCATCCGGCTCAACGTAACAATCATACGAGCACAATTTCCCTCCGGGCAATGGGCGCACAGTACCTGCAGCATCTGAGCAATCACGCCCTCCTCGATGATCTGCACCGCGCTCCTCAGACCCCGAGCGAAGGTGTCCATGGCACCAACGTGTGCGATAAACAGATCCTCCAGGTCCGTAGACTCTCGCCGTACTTTGGCGTCGAAGTTCAGCCCCCCAGGCTGCAGGCCCCCTTGTTCAATTACACACTGGAAAGCACCACAGAAATGCAGCTGGTGGTTTATACTGTATACGTCAAGCGAGGTTGTATGTTTATTTTTTTTCTGTTTGGAAACTTGTACTGAAACAGAATCAAAGCTAAAGTGTGAATGAAGTTGTCTCTGTTAAACTCCCTCTCTTTGGTCCCTGATTTCTGGTTTGGATTCTAACACTCATTATCAGTCAGGCAGTGCTTGATATGCCTTATGTCTCCCTTCCAAGTAAATAACAGGTACCACAATATCTCTTAACAACAGACAGAGACGTCACATACATGTAAATGTAACACAGGCAGTGGACTGCCATTCCTCACCTTCATCACCATAGTGGTGTTCTTGATGTCCATAGGGAACTGGTCTGTGTCCCAACCCAAATCAGGAGACCCAGTATTAGAGTCCACTGAGCCAAGCATACCAAACCTACAAATGCAGGCAACAGTTTCTATGACAACCACTTCAGCTAAACCTGGTAAAGCAGGCATGTTACATAAACCTCCTGCTCCTTTTACAGCAAAAAAAAAACTTACTAGAGCTCTTCCTTATTTACCAATTCCCCATTTTCAGCATGTAGCTCACAAAACAGCTTCTAATGCAAACATCTAGTTGGGAGCATTCAAACGCATCACAGAAAGGAGTCAACAAAAAATGAAAAAATAAAAACAGAGTATGCCTCTCACCACAGCGCAGTGGATGGTTCGATTAACGAACATAGCAAACAGGCACACAGCATTCTCCTGTGGGTTTCCAAAGCCCGATGGTGTAAGATAGCACAAGAAATATTTTAAGAGTACCTGAATGAGGGAGAAAAAACTGCTCCACTTACGCTGAAGCCATAATGATGTCATGCTCGTAAGAATGTCCCGCCAAAGTGGTGTGATTCGGTTCAATATTTAACTTGAAGTAGCTGTCAAGCTCAAAATGCTTCAGGAATCCTATAACGCTCATGGCATCTAGGAGCAGCAGACAAAAGATGACAAATCACGGAGTACAAATAATCAGAGAATCAGAGTTTTGACCTACTACATTGGTCCTATTAGCCTCCTTTATTACAACGCTGAAAAAGTGGTTAAACTTAGTTCTGAATATCTGTGTGTGAAATGAAGTAAAGCACATGATCATTCGGTACAGCAATTCCACCTGCTTGCTTGCAATGAGACCAGCTGTCTCTCACACTTCCCTTTAATTCTTAGAGGACACAAGGCAGGACTTCACCCAACTGGGATGAATGTCCACGGCAGGGTGCAGACACTCAGACACACATTCACTCACACAGGAACACGATTCAGACAACTTCAGTTAACTTGGACAGTGTGACTTTGGACTGTGGCAGGAAACCAGAGCACCCCGAGAAAGCCCCTGGGGAGAGAGGGGAACATGGAGCAAGCTACACAGAGCTAGCATCGCCGTGCGCAATCGAACCCAGGACGCAAGCGCTGTGAGCCAGCAGAAATAGCTACGCCCACCGTGCCAAAACAACAGAAATTCTGCAAAAGAAAACGCAATGCCTAGGATCTAAGTGCCAAAAATATCTGTAGTCAAGCAGCATGCACTGAGGAACAAGCTCTGCTTCGTGACCTAAAACCTTGATGCAAAGCACAAGCTGTTTTCTTACCGTAATCATATTGATGTTTGCAGGGCTCTTTAGGCTTGGGCTCGATAAGAAACTGGCACTTCAGGCCAATCTTCTCTTTGTACGCTGCACAGAATTGAAATAGGCAAAGATAT